GTGAAATCAGTCATTACTAAGACTGGTGGCCTTTTTTTATATCCATCTTGACCATACTTCACCTAAAAGAAGGATGATATATTCAACAGAAATGTAATTAAGTATAGAAACCACTATTTTCCTGGAAGCTGGACAAACTTTTCTCCAGATTACATCCCATTGGATGTTGAATAATACAATATCCAAGAGTTGTACTCATTGACAATTCGACCAGCAAGATGCATCAACATGCTTCTCAAAAACCAATTGGCACCACCATTTTGATTTTTGATGACTCGAAAACATGACAACAAATGAATCAACATCATCCATAGAGCCTGACTAAATAAAAATCGAATACTTATTACTAAATGAGATCTAACTCTCCCACAAAACTGAGTTTTTAAATAAATTTTAGGCTAGAATTCGTACGACTGCAGAGAGACTCATATTTCACAAACAGTAGGTGAAATTTCCACTGTTCTTCCCAAATAACATATCACCATTTGATTAACAAATGTCAAGTAATAAATCCTAAAAATCACTAGAATGGGAAACCAGCAGCTCCACTACCAAAAATCTAAAATATAAGAAACATAGATTCTCAAGAAACTCCATTTTCTTTCATACTGATCTTGCATACCAAATCTCATAATATCCACAATATGTAAAATGGAAAGACCCACCAAGAATATAATCAGCGAAGTATAATAATATCTCTAACAATATTGCAGCACTTAAATATATTATAAATTACCTTATGTATTGATTGTACATATACCTACATTTGACTGCCACATACCTCCTCACTGCCAGATGCACCATAACACAAGTAAGGCTAGAAATATCTTGCCCTACCTAGAATGCAATAGAAACGGCAAAATGGTTTGTAGTTCAGCTAAGCTTAAGACATCTACTTATTTTAATAAGGCTTGACCAATGGCCCATGGCCCATGTAAAAAAAAACCAACCCGAAAAAGGAAGATGGGAACCAAACTGCAATGCGGTGGGAGGACACAAGCTATCCAAAATACCTTAATAGCCTTGAAAACAGGAAAGTGCCCATCTAATTTGCTTGTTTATCCTCATTTTCATAGAAGAATTTGCATGTTAGATTGTGAGACCCAAAATTAGCTACAGGATGCAACTTAATTGGAGCAAATATTTGGCAGAAAATTCAAAAAAAATCCCCATGTAGATGGAAAACACATAAAACAGGAGGAAAAAAGAAAGGAAAAACAGGAGGAAAAAAGAAAGGAAAAACAGCTAAGGGACTGAACAAGAAGGAGAGGTAGCTGGGGAGGAAGTAAGAGAAAAACAATACCTTGCATTCCTTACCTTCCATAGTTAGGTAGAACTTCATCTTCTAATTCTTGATCACCCTCATATTCATTACCAACATCATCATCATTCTCATTTAGTGCATCCGCTTCATCATTCTCACTTAGTGCATCCGCATCATCATCATTGTCATTGGAGTAAAAATGCCTAGCCCATCAAAGGAAATAACAAAAGACAGTTATTTGAGATTGCTTAGTTGCTGGTACAAGGAATGGAAATTGTCCAGGATTCATAAATAAATATACTCATGTGAAAAAAAGCATAAACACAAAATACAGCCATAAAAGGTAAATGACTAAATGTAGATGGACATAGATGTGTGTTCTGTATTTGATTGTATTAAAACAGTTCCAGTTTGATCAAATCCAACGCATATGCAGTGCTAGTCATCATATCCCATCAGGATTCAGAGCTACAAATTCTGAAAGCATTTAAACACAACGTATGGAGGAGATATGTAGCAGATCCTCCAACTTTTACTCAACTCAACTGATTGTTACAAACTTACAGGATTCTTTTGATGGGCTGCAAGTTGATCTCACTCAGTTTAACATAAATACGACTTACATTGACCAAGTCAGCTCTAAAGGAAAGAGATCTGAAATTTCCTGATGTTTTTTTTTTTCAAAACCAAACCACCAACTGCGAACTTTTACTCAGTAATTGCCTAGTATATTTCATGTCTTTTCTTAAAAAGCGAAACTACTACAGCATTAAAAAAAGAATTACAATTGACCTCCAATAATTATCAAAAATAAATAGTCAGAAACCGAAATTTACAGCTCATGTGCGTGCTTAGGTTATTTAACTTATTAGATAAGAATATATGATAGTGGGTTTTGGAGGGTTTAAGGAAAAGAAAAAGATAATATTATGTAATTAGGAAGTGAAATAATGGTAAAACATACATGTCTTTTCTTTTTTTAATTTTAGAAAGAACATGATAGCAACCAATTGGTCCTCCATGTTTAAACATTTGTTGTTTAAACTAATAAGCTACCTTAAAATTTCACTGATGCATCAATCTAAGGTGAGATATAGAGTTAAGGTATTACTTACATATTCCATTCCACTTAAAACATGATAAAACCAAAATATCATGGCACTATCAGAAAGGAAGCTAAGTACCCAACTGAAACCTGTCAATGTAGACAAGAGAGAGAATTGCAATTCTACACAGCATAATTGACAAGAACTTAATATAATCAAGTTGATGCATTACATTGATAAAGCCGAGAACACCAAAATTGATTAATCCAAAATTAATTAGAGAGTTTGTCATATTTCTTGACTTAAAATCTAAAATTAGTTAGAGTCTTTCATATTTTTCGCTTTTCCGACTTAAAATCAAACCCAAGCTCCATTATTTCACTTCCTAATTACATAATCTTATCTTTTTCTTTTCCTTAAACCCTCCAAAACCCAGTATCATATATTCCTATCTAATAAGTTAAATAACCTAAGCACGCACATGAGCTTGAACAATGGATGTAGCAATTAGAAAAAAGTAATAAACTTGGATCTCTAAAGTCTTACCCCATGAATGAACCAAATCAGCCACCCCAAATCAATATTCAACTTCATCCCAAACACAAAAGCAAAAACTTCAAATTTAATTCTCAAAAACGAAAATTCGTTGTTTACCTTGAACAGAATTTCGAGCAATCAGCTCAAAGAAGGGACATGCAACAATGAAATTGAGACCGCCTGACTGCCGCTATCAGCCACCACCGCCTGACTGCCGCTATCAGCCACCACCTCCGATCCTGACTGCCGCCTTCGTCTACTACTTCCTCATAATCATTTGCTTATTTTCCTCTTCGAATTTTTAAATGATTTTTTTTCGTGATTTTCACCTCAGAATTTCGAAGTGATTTTGGAGTTGAAGCAAATATGTGAATGTGAGATGATGGGGAAAATAGAGAATTGGGGGAAATTGAGAAAATGGAGAATTGGGGGAAATTGAGAAAATGGAGAAAATGGGTGAGAATGGGTACTGTGAGAATGAGTGGAGAAAATGGGTGAGAAAAGTAAACACGTGTTGTTCAAAATTTTGGTGAAAACATTAGAGGGAACAATGCGCGCTTCAACCTAAAATTTTCATGATACAACACTACCGTAGCATTAGCTTTCATTTTTGTTAAAATAGCTAGGCTATTGCAACGGTTCTTTAGAGCCGTGGCAATAGCTCTACCTCTAAGAGCATCACTTTTAACTCAGTGGCAATAGCCTACTCTATTGCAACGGCAATAAAAATACCGTTGTATTAGCCTTTATTAGGCCGTTGCAATAGATCAAAAATGTAGTAGTGGAGGAACCCGTTGAGGATGGACAATTTCATGAAGAGGAGGAAGTCGGTCATTGGGTTTCCTTCGATCAGTTGTTGGATAATCTTTGAGGGTCCTTGTTGGGTTTTACTCTAATCTAATTATGAGTGCGGAAACAAACCTATACCAAGATCCATGTATAATTCAAAAGATTAATCACAACATATAATCTAGTATAAAGATTATACCTTTGTTGCGTGCTTGTAAAGACAAACAGAGTCAAGAACAAGAACCACAATTGCAATCCCTCTATTAAAAGTCCACCCACACGATCAAACCTGCCTTAAGTGTATTAGATTAGAATATCGAACAAATCTCTCAAGGTTTTTGTGTTAGATCTAGGTTCTTACTTTAGAGGAGGCAAGAATAATTCTAAATTATTCTTCTTCACTTATGATCATCTAATGATCTAATGATATTTATAATACATAAATAACCTCCTTAAAAGTGTAAACCCATCAGGATTAGGATTAGTTAATGAATTAAAAATTAATTCAACCAATAGTTGTTTTACAATATATATATATATATATATATTTTGTAAAATAACTAAATTTAATTTAAAGATTTGAAGAGAGAGAGTTGAAGAAACTTAGGGTTCTTCAGGAGAGAGAAAGAAAAACAAGTGGAATAATGTAGAAGATGATGAGAGAGAAAGAAATCAGTAGACTAATAATGAGAGCAATTGAGAGAGGATCTTTCAAAAAAGAGCAATTGAGAGGGAATAGTTTACAAGATGCAATCTAACTTTGTAAATGATGAAATAAATGAGTGGGGGCACACTCCTTTTATAAGAAAAATGAGGGCAATTTGGGGAGTTTAAGGAATACAGCAAAAAAATTGAGTATATAATGGTCTTTTCATAAAATCCATATTAGAAAAAAAAAATTAAAAAAATATTTGAACTATATTATGGGATGAAGTGAGTATTGTATTTTTTATGTACTTCGTAAATCATTAAGAGAGGGAGTGGGGGAGTATCTATACTAATATATTAAAAAGCGTTCCTAAAAACGTCGATGTGCCACATAGTCTTTTTTTTTTATTATGCCACGTCACCTTCCCACCATCTCACGACGCCACATCATCACTTAAACAATCTTAACCATTACGCCACGTCGCCCAAACAACCAACATTACTCCATATAAAAACATAAGAATAAGGTGATTTGAACCATCAACCTCTTATAACAAATATGACTATATAACCATCTAAGCCAATTATCAACCATGTTATTAATATGTAAAAAAAAATTTATATAAATGCAAACCACAAGATTCAATTAAAAAAAAAAGCTCAAAGAATAATTCAATTTTGTTTTGTTTTTTTTTTTTTTTTTTTTTTTTGACGAGAAGCAAAGCTTTTATTTAATTAAGGCATGAAAGATCATGAGAAACAGCAGCAGAGGCGCATGGAGGGATATCCATAATCCATACCCTTATATCAACATAGCCTGTACTACAATTGGCCATAACATGAGCCACCCTATTTCCCCTCCTTCCCACATGAGAAAAGCTACAAGAAAGACAGAGAATCAAGGTAAGCAATGTCTTTTACAATCAGGCTGAAGCAGGAAGGATCACAAATGCCTTTGGAAAGATGTGAACAATTTGAGGTTGTCCATTTCCAGAATAACTCGATTGAAACCAGCTTCCATGGCAATGAGTAGAGCGAATCTGGCAGCCATAGCCTCTGCAATATCGATCTCGAAGCACCCCTGGATCTGAACGCATGTTGCAGCCATTAAATCACCTGTATCATCCCACATAAGTCATAACACCCCCAAGCCCAGTGGTATAAAAGGCGGAGCCCAAGTATGGATGATTATAGCACGTTGCAGCTAATTTTGATTTGACAAAGACGATTTCAATTTTGAAAAGCCTTAAAAAAAAATTATTAATTGTATATCTATAATAGTAGCAACCTGGGACAATGTCCGGACTACTCATTATAATCTGTGTAAAAATAAAAAAATAAAAAAAGTTCACTTTGTGTGAGTGATGCATAAAGCAAAGGATTTTACTAATACGGATAATTAAATCGTAAAGGAGAGTGTGAAAGGAGTTGGAAAGTGTATTTTGCTCTACTACTTCACCATTTCTGAATACCCAGAATCTTCAAATTCTCTCTCTTCTTCTATGAGATTCCTCAACAATGCGAACATTCCTTCTGTTTATTAACTTAATACCCTTTTTTCTTCTCTTTTTATCTCAATTTCCTGTTGCTACTGCTGTTGTTTCTACTCCTGCTGGTGATCTCTCATTCTCCTTAAAACCCCCAATTCAAATTAGTTTTTTGTTATAAATTTAGCAACCCGTTTTGATTTTTTATTTACTTGGAATTTCATGTTTCTAATTTTGTTTGTAATTTTTGGTGCAGGTCCATTGATTAAACACCTCTCTTCATTACTCAAATGGACTAAGAATTCCCCTAAATCATCCCAATCAGGTATATTTTCTCTAAAATTAATGGTTTATTATTTTTATTTATTTTAATTCAGTAAATTTAGCTATGTTAATCATACGTTAGAAATTTAAAATATTTGATGGTTGTTTATTATTTAGTGGATTTTTAGTTTTGTTGAATTTATGTTTCAGAAATGCCAATTTTTAATGTTTTTTTTTTAGTTATGTGTTAGAGATATAAATTGTTTGATGGGTGTGTATTATTTATAGTGATGTTGAATTTTTGTTCCAGAAATGGAAATGTTTAATGGGTTTTTTGTTTAAACAATTTACTGACTCTATTAACATGTATCTATGTGTTAGAGCTTAGTTTATTTGATGGGTGTGTATTATATAATGCATTTTTAGTGATGTTGAATTTTGTTTCGGAAAATCAAATGTTGATGTATAATTTACAGATGGACCAGTAGTTCAGTTTGAGAGTGGGTATTTAGTGGAGACAGTTATAGAAGGGAATGCAATTGGAGTTGTACCCTATTCAATTAGGGTATCTCATGATGGAGAGCTATTTGCTGTTGATTCAGAGGGTAGCAACATTGTGCGGATCACTCCTCCACTGTCACAGTGTATGATATCTTCATCACTCTCTTTAAATTCTTGTTTTCTGGGGTTTATTTGGATTGTTTGTTTTTGTTCAATTTTGTAACATGTTGTGCATGATTGGGAAAAAAGGTTGTAACCTGTATTACATGTATGGATCGTTTTAAGTATTGGTCCACGCTTGTATTTGAAATATAAGGCTATTTGTTTGCTTTGTTGATTTTTGTTCAAGTTTGATTCATATTGTGCATGATTTGAAAAGGGTTGTAAGTCTTGTAACCAATATTACATGGATTCCATATGTCATGCATTGATGTACTTTTGGTCGAAGATCACTTATAGAATGTAGGACAATTCTTCTTGCACACAGATGAAAAACAAATTGTATTATTTTGGCCATGTTTGAGTAATTTATAGTGCTAGCCAAGACAATTATACAGAAGATAACTAGCATATTTGGATGCTTACTTGTCTATAGTCTGTGCAATAGATTGGTGAAGGGTTCATCTGAAAGTAATGTTAAGTGTTGGAAACTTGTGAAGAACAGGAATTTGAGCGTGCTCTTTAATTATATTCTCTGTGCCATTGATTTTTCATGCTTCAGATAGTAGAGCAAGGCTAGTGGCTGGATCATTTCAGGGTAAAACAGGGCATGTGGATGGTAAACCAAATGATGCTCGTTTTAATCATCCTAAAGGGGTGGCCATGGATGATAAAGGGAATGTATACATTGCTGACACTGACAATCTTGCTATCAGAAAGGTTGGAGAAGGGGGTATGTTCAATGAGAATGACATCAGTATCAATTCAATTGGTTTATTTTGCTGCTAATTGATTCAACTTGTATTTGAAAATCTTATGCAGGAGTGACAACAATTGCTGGAGGGAAGTCAAATGTTGCAGGATACACAGATGGGCCAAGTGAGGATGCAAAGTTCTCTACAGATTTTGACGTGGTTTATGTTCCGTCCACTTGCTCTTTGTTAGTTGTTGACAGAGGAAATGCTGCACTAAGGCAAATTTCTCTCAATCAAGAAGACTGTGATTCTAATTACAGTTCCATTTCAGTGTCAGGTGGGCTTCATGTCATCTTGTCGATCTTCACAATCACTTGTGTATTTCGGTTTGAAGTTTCCTTGCTCACTAGAGCTCCTTAAGTTATGAGATCTTGAGAAAATGAAGTGTTGACCTTTATATCAACTGAATTATCAGGCAGTATTCATGAACCACTCCGAAAGATCAAATATAGATTGTTTTAGTGGGTACTCCCTCCATCCCACAAAATAAAATCTCTAAAACAAACATTTCTCAAATCCCTATTCCACAAAAAACTTATCATTTCTCCCTTGGGTTGGGTCTACTTGGTATAATGATATTTTAATTTTCCTCTTTTTCCTCTTTTTCCTTTTATTTTATTCTTCTCCCTTGTATTAATTATGGTCCTCACTTTCTCTCATCTCTATTGATAAAGATAGCAATACCTAATACCTTATATTTTGATCACTTATACTCAACAAAACCTCATTACAAATGCTCTCCTAAAACTCTTTGCCCAAGAGAAATGGAAAGATTTTGTGGGACAAAGGGAGTAATTTTTACACACAATATGAAACTTGTTAGCACTAGTTTAAGTTGTATTATGGATTAGTGTTGAAATATGGCATGCAACATTATTATTGATATTATTAAATCATCTTTGATAATCATCTTTGATGTCACAAAGATTATATATATAGTGACATTAATGTTGCATTGAAATTATGCGATAGCTTATATTTGGAAGAAATTTGAACTAACTAGGAGGGAGTAAGTAATTAGGATATTCTTTAGCTGATGATTTTGATGAAACAGCTCAATATCATGTATTATGAATTCTAATTTTTAGTGCTGTGACTGATGATGATTTAAGGAAGCAGAATTTTGACCATATTTCATACGTCTATGCTTGCTAAGTTTAAAGTGTGTACAAAATGTATTCATGTCATATCGGCTGACAAGAAGGAATGGTCTTGTTCTTTTCCTTTGTTTGTATCATACATTCATACCCTACAGATGGTGCCTAAGTACATATAATAAAGTCTGTATGCTGCTTAAAGCAATTGTTTTGTTAAGTACAGGCTCACAAAATGTGTTGGTATGAAGAACCTAAGTAGCCATAGTTGCAGTGAAATAATTGTATTGTGGAGTACTGCAGGGTCCTAAGGCCCATACGTGTCAACAGCATGTGGCATTTGAAATTAGAGTCATGTGCACTATACTCTATAGATTGTTTCCATGGTGAGAGAGAGACTATGTGGGATAAGAGGATAATAGGAGTGAAGTGAGTAGAACTAAAAAGAACGGACAAAAAAAAAAAAAGTGAACAGAAACAAAAAAAAAAATTAAAAAAAGAGGGCGTATGTTAGGATTTTTCATTTATTTATTTATGCTTTTATGTGAGACGGAGAGTTGAAAGGTTAGGTTTGTCTACTGAAGGTGGCTTGGCTCCTAGATGTGAGATGCCTTTGTGTGTGTGGAGCAACTTCCCTAGGGAAATGCCTTTCCTACTTAATGGTTTTCCGGTTTTCCTGGCATTCTCTCAAAAGTAGATGAGGTTCTTGATGATTCATATAGACATTGACCAAGTTGATGAACTGATTCTATTCAAGGGATTTGGGGTAATGTCATCAGGGTGAATTTATTACAAGGAAAGTGTTTTCTCTTGTAGTATGTCCCTCTATGCTCTTCAATGTCTGATCATTTGTGACTTCAAATGAGTTTGGCTGAAGCTGTCATCACCAAGAAGATAAGGGATTAAACTTTAACTAACTTTTAATTTACATTGCTGTAAATCTTTTATTTATTATTATTTTATAATTGTAGTGTAGTTTAGGATTTTTCACCTTCAATTGAGAGGAGATTTTTCCTCATGAATGTCTTATGGTTCTGCTTAGCTAGTCTAGGGATTTATTCCCAATGTTTGGTATTTTTCTAGTGTGACAACAATACTTCTGCTTATGGATGCCAAAATCAATTTTTCAATTTTCCAACTAGAGCTGCTTGTTGATGCTTGCACATGTAGCTGTGCACATTCTGTTTTGAAATTAATTTTATTAGTTTTCATGAATATGACCAAAGCTCTGATTGTTTTTGTCATGCTAAAATAGCTGCGCTTTTCTTTGAGCATCAAATATTATGGAGTGTTTTATATGTTTGTGTTTTGGAACAAATGTTAACTAATTTAAGTGGTTCTTGTGTACTGTCAGATATTGTCATGGTCATCAGTGCTATATTTGTTGGATACACCTCATGCTTGCTTCATCAGGGATTTGGACCTGCTTTTATCTCAGAATTTGTGAGTATGATTATCTACTTCTATACAGGGCAGCAAATTTATCTTTTATTTTTTTTTCTTTTAAAGCTGTTCATTGGTTCACTTCAGCTCTTGATCCCCCATTGAAATTTCTGCTTTGCTTTAGTGCCTTGGATGTACTCGTATTTCTTTGTGGTTTTCGAATGTGCTTAATGTATGAATGCCCCCCAACAAAAGTTCAAACCACTCCTAGCAACTTGTTATGGTTAAGCATCACCTTCTCAGAAATGAAGGTGAAAATTTTGTAGCTCATCAAGTTGTCAAAATCATATACCATGGCAAACATCTGTCATGTTCTTCCGTTAAGAACTTGTAGCTTATATGATTAGCAACTATTTTTGTGTGTAGATGTAAACACAGCTCGTTGGTTTACTACAACCTCATTGAAATTGTTGCTTTTTCTAGTGGCTTGCATGTACAAAAGCTCCCAAAAAAAAGTTTAAACCACTTCCTAGCAACATGCAACTTTTAGATATCATTCCCTTTTTCTATAGAATTTTGAGGTAAAATAATTTTATAGCTCATGTCCTCAAAAACACCTATGCAAACATTCTCCAATCCCTACCATTGTTCAAGTGGCTCGTGTTTTGAATCTTATCCACCATAATGTTTCTGTAATATTTTAATAATAGCTTCTCAAGATACACTTCAATGTGCTTGGTGTCTTTTATCTGATCTCAATGAGCCTCAAAGTTAAAATTGTCTCAAGGAACTTTGTGGGTAAACATTGCAAAGCTCTGATATTCAGTAATGCTCACTTGGCTTTCTATATCTTGCTGCAGCTACAATCTTCTGCATCAGATGATCCACAAAAACTACTCAAAGAGAAGCAAAATTCAATCCTGGAGAGCGTAAAAGAGGAGCAAGTTCATGCTGGGTCTGGATGGCCTCCATTTGGACAGATGATAGGTGATCTTGGGAAACTAGCCCATGAGTCACTGAGTAATGTCATTGTTCCCTTAATTCCCCCTCGTTTTAGCCCAAGGAAAGGACTCACTCCCTTGAAAGACGCTCTAAAGATGCCTGAAGATGCAGTACAGCCGCAATTGATAGCCCAAAAGCAGAGGACCCCTGTCCCTGTTTCTGAATCCTGGCAAGCATATGCTCCAGATACTACAGAAAAGCATTCTGAAGCAAAGACTTTGAAGATGAGATCAGCGTCTCTGAAGGACCCTTCTTTGTCAAGCAAACACAGATCTTCCAAAAGACAAGAGTATTCAGAATTTTATGGTTCTAGTGAAGCCCCTCATAAAAGTGGGCAGACAAGGTCTAAAGCACATAAGGAGAGGTCAAAGCATCGCCACCGAGAAAAGAGTGGAGAAGTAAGTTCAGGGGCTCATGCATCTGAGCCTAAACCTGGTGAATATAAAGGGGTAAATTACAATGATCCAAGGTTTAACCCTTACAATGTGGGGAATAGATATATGCCAGATGGTTCCTACCGCTATTAGACTGATTTTTTAACGGTTAGTGATGTCGGCATGTTACGGTATCAAATTTTGTATTTGCCATGATGTTGTATGGCTATCTTTACTTGGTCCTAGTGTAAGAATTCGACTGAAATTACATTTGAGATATCTGAGCTGCTCAAGATGACTGGAATCATTTTATGGGTTCTGTCATAGATGTAAGAACTTCTCCGGGGGCAGGTCTGTAGGCTGTATTCGTGTTGTATTTATCACTTCCAAGGAAAAATTACATAGCATATACTTCACTTTGGCTTCCCCATGCATTTCCCTTAATTTTTCAGGCTAAATATCTTATGTATTGCTTAGTGTCTTGTCTTGAATCTCTAATACCCATTTCCATGCCATACATTTAATACTACAGAACTTGTACAACAGTACAGAAGTAACATACAATATGTATTCTTCTAACAATTTATGTTTCTTCAATGTGTATTGAGTGTTTCCTCATGACATGTCTCAAGTAACGTTACCCTAATTTTTAGGTTTTTATATTCATCAGCATTAAAGACATCCACCACACCTCCAAACATACAAGCGCACGAAATTATGTTTTTTAAGAGTTCATCTGATCTATGAAATGTCTGTAGCTGTATGCAGTACAATAACATGAGAGGGGGATTTAGAGCACTTGATCTTGTAAGACCAATTCTCCCATTTTTACCTCGAGTTGAAGGGCCGGGTAAGGATAAGACTGTACCTTTCAGAGAGAAGGTTATATACACTGTGGTATCCCTCTTCATTTTCCTTGTTTGCAGCCAACTTCTATATGGCATCCATTCGAAATCTGGTTCAGATCCTTTTTACTGGATGCGACTCATTCTAGCCTCGAGTCATGGGACTGTCATGGAGCTTGGCATTTCCCCCATAGTTACCTCAGGCATGGTGGTGCAAGTTTTGCTTTGCTTCAGACATCTTTTCAAGTAGATTACAGATTTTAAGGAAGATCAGGAGCTCTTGTAAGTACCTTTCCAAGTTATCTCTACTTCAATACGCCATGTTTAACTTTTGCTAGGTTTAGCCACATGACCTTACTATATACGATTATTGTTGTAGGAATGGTGCACAAAAGTTGCTAGGAATTCTAATAACAGCGGGTGAGGCTACTGCTTACGTTCTCTCAGGAATGTATGGAAGTGTTGCTCAGCTTGGAGCTGCAAATTCAGTTCTTATAGTTATTCAACTTACTTTTGCTGGAATCATTATGTTGTCCGTTGACGAAATGCTTCAAAATGGATACGGTTTAGGCTCCGGAATCTCCCTTTTCATGGCCTCAAATATTTGGTAAGATAGTCTTATACACAGAATTTGCTAACTCACTCAAGTACTAGAGACTAAAGTTAATAGAAGTATAGAACAATGAACTTTTCATGGCGTGTTGTGTAAATGCGCACCTAAGCAAATCTATTTTTTTTTTTTGTAAAGTGGACTACAACAATGTATTGTGAAACCGAGATGACTTTTCTATTTTAAGGAGTGATTCCTTACTTTTATGCATCACAATAAAATTATATGTCAAGAAAATAGAGAAGCTTTACAAGTCTGCCTAACCTAAGACTTGTATGGTTTATGCAGCGAAAATGTGATATGGATGACATTCAGTCCGGCCACAATCAACATAGGGAGAGGGCCAGAGTGCCAAGGGGCTGCTATTGCCTTAATCCACTTGCTCATAACTCGTTAAGACAAAACTCGAGCTCTTAGAGAAGCATTTTATAGACAAAATCTCCCAAATGTAACAAATTTTTTGGGAACTCTTTCGATCTTCTTCATAGATTGTCTATTTCCATGGTTTTCGAGTAATTGTGCCCTTAAAATCAATGAATGTTGAGGAAAAAAAGGGTTTTACCCAATTAAGCTATTTTATATCTCTAATATGCCCATCATTTTGCAATCCGCCTTTGTCACCAATGTTTACTTCTTCTCTCACGTAAGTTGTCTGACTTATATGCTTGTATTGGCGTAACATGATTTAAATTAATAAATGTTTTTCGACTATATCTCACCTTTCTAAAGCTAGTTGATATGTAGTCATTGACAAGCTCTCCTTTTACTATCGTTTATTAACTTCTTGAAATATTCTTTTTAGTGCACCTTTTTTTTTAAAAAAATACTAGGATGTGTGTTTGTGTGAGAAAGTTTAAGATTGGAATATAGGCACTTAATTCATAAGTTGAAATTACATATATAAATCGAAAAAAAAAACCTACTCCATTCTTCAACATGAAATATTATAGTTTCTTTGAAGGAAATTTAATATCTCTTTTCACACTACAAACGTTTCAAACTTCTTTGTTCACATGGGTTTTGTAGGTAATTCACATGGTTTTTGTGATCTCTTTCGTCCTTTACCCTTTTTTTTAGATTTTGTGCTTCCTCCCATATTGGATTATGTTAAGAACAAATGAAGTGTATATACTTGTCATGCATGACAATGTAAAATTATGAAACTTATTTGCTCATTAAATTTATGTTGGTTCTTTTAGGAAAGAGCCTAAGTATATTGAGTTTGTTTCTTTTGATAAAAAGCTTCTTTATAGAAAATTCGGTGGCATTTTCATAGTTAGCCTGGTTGGAAAATGGAAGCAATCCGAGGTTTCTGGCGTGTATGTTCCAGTTGGTGGTCTAGCATATTATATTACTGCTCCTCTTAGGTAATCTACAATTTTGCTTTGGTTTTAATTCGTTTCAATGTAAATTTTCCACATAAAAAAAGTTCATAATTATTGATAATTGAAGATTTTTATGTGTATAATCATTTATTAGCTTAGCATGTGTAAGAAAATGGCTCAACTAAAATTAAACAGAGAAAGCACATTGAAGTAAATCTAACAAGATTTACATGAGTACAATTTCATCTTATAGATAAGTAAAACTTCAAAGTAATTTCAAAAATTTTATGCAAAAAACTAGGACAATCTTTGAAGTATAATGAGAGTAATTATATACTTCTTCCATTTCAAATTAGTTGACACATTTTGATTCAAGACACATTTTACATTTGGCTTTATTTGTGATTTACTTGGAAAAAAAAAAACAAGTCATGTGATTTGTCTCCATACTACATATTTTTAAAAATATAGATATTTTTTTATTAATAAATAATTTGAAATATTAAGGTTTGACATCATGTTTTGCAAACATGCCTAAAGAGTGCAAAGACATGTATTTATTAATATAAAACAGGGGAAATACTTCGTATGATTATGATCTATAGCAAACATTAAATTACAAATGATGGCATTCTCCTTTACGACCAATTATTTAGAGATGTATAAATAATACGAGTAATAAATAAAGAAAAATACAGAGTATGAAGTATTTTAAAAAGGAATAAGATGACATATCAATATCAAAATGATTATGATTGAAGTATTGAACATAACGTGGAACGCAAATTGTGTGTATGTAGTTTGGGTAGTGTGATAGAAGACCCATTCCATGCACTATTCTACACCGTATTGATGTTTTCAGCTTGTGCATTATTCTCTAAGATTTGGGCTCAAGGATCTGGATCTTCTGCTGAAGATGTAGCCCGCCATTTAAAGGTGCGTTTTCGCCAATATTATAATCGAACAACATTTATATACGACTATACGAGTAATAACGTTTGTTGTTTATACATTGCGGAGTAATATTAAAATAAAAATACGACCTACAAGTACATAATATTATTATTAATTTTATTGACCGTTTACCAAACATGTCGTTGGTGTAAAATATACAGGGTACATACGATTAATACGAGTGAGGTAATTGAAGTGCTGGAACAAAAAATGATGATACCAGGACATAGGCAATCAAGCATATACAAAGAATTGGACAGATACATACCAACAGCAGCTGCATTTGGTGGGATTTGTTTAGGAGCTCTCACAATTTTGGCTGACTTTTTAGGTGCCACTGGTTCTGGCACTGGTATTTTGCTTGCTGTTTCCATCATTTATCAGTATTGTGAGGCATTTGAGAGGGAAGGTTATTGACCTTGATATTTTGGGGCTGTAATTTAATTCCAACTGAATTTTGTTTGCTAAATCAATAGAATAGAATCTTAAATCTAATATTCCGTATCCATGTTGTTTCGAGTAAAACTATGTGGTCAAGACTTTGAACTTTGTCTATAAGTTGATGACTGATTCAGATCGAAAGTGAGTTGGGCCGAAGTCGCATGCACAAAAGAACACATTAACTATTTCAGGGGGTGTGTCCAAGGAAACCCCTCTGATACCTAAGTCAGTACGTGCGATTAAAGTTCAAGGATAACCTTGATTTGGTGATTATTTTGCTATTTATACCCTTTTTTTTCGGATGGCTATTTATACCTTATGTGGACCCTATGACATGTGAGCTAGCTTTGTCCTTGATTGCAAAATAGATTGCTTTATGGACTTTAAGCTAGAGGAGTCTTATAGACTGATTTAGCTTTTGGGCCATTTAATTAACTCGCCCAAAATAGTTATTTTGACCCAAACACATATTATTTGTTCACTCTTAAATTGAATTTTGTTTTCCATTTTTTTTTCTTTGTACCAAAATTATTTAAATGATTTTGCATGTGTAGAACTACTAAAATATAATTAGTCCTTTTTGTTGTGATAAAAACATTGTTGAATTCACCAAGTAGTTGATTCAGTATGCAGTATTATTTTCAATATATTTTGAAATCGTGTAAAAAAATAGTATTTGAAAATCTTGTAAAATAGAAATGAGGATAGAAGGAACACATAACATTTAAATAAATGGCTGTCTAAAAATAAATAAATAAAAATTAGCCAATACAAAATTGGATAGCAAATGTTAAAGATATATGGTTTTGAATTTTTTACACAAAACAAGTTGGCTTACATCTAGGTTTACATTTAGAAAATATGTTTTAAGTTTGAGCCTAACCAAAGCTAATTCAAATTCGATCACTTATCATCCCAAGATGGGGTAAGTTGGTACTCCATACTTTTATTATTATTATTATTATTATTATTATTATTATTATTATTATTATTATTATTATTATTATTATTATTATTATTATTATTATTATTATTATTATGGTAAGGAGAACAATTTTGATCAAATCTCAAGATTTATAGTTTTTTAATCCAATATATATAGGCTAAGCACTTAGAAAGATTGAGGGGGAAGGATAAGAGATCCTCACCAATTATCATGGAAAGATACAACCAACATTATAAGGTAAATTTCTCACCAATTATACCAAGCCTTGCATCGCTTGGTGTACTCAGTACATGGTATGGAACTATAGACTAAAATATTTTATAAAAATTTGTGGCAACCACTTTGAGACAAAAGAAAGTTAAGTACTCCGTATACAACTTGAAAACATAGGAAAATTTGGACCCTTAAAAATGAAGTTCAAGAT